TGTCTCACCACCCTCACAGTGAAGAACTTCTTCCTAATATCTAATCCAAATTTCCCCTCTTTCAGTTTAAAACCATTGCTCCTTGTCCTATCACAACAGGTGCTATTAAGAAGTCCCTCCCCACCTTCCCTGTAGGCCCCCTTTACGTACTGGAAGGCCGCTCTAAGGTCTCCCTGGAGCCTTCTCCAGGCTGAACAACCCCAACTCTCTCAGTCTGTCCTCACAGGGGAGGTGCTCCAGCCCCCTGAGCATCTCTGTGGCCCTCCTCTGGGCCCGCTTGAGCAGGTCTGTCTTTTCTGTGCTGGGGGCCCCAGAGCAGCACTACAGGAGGGGTCTCACAAGAGCAGAGTAGACCACATCCGTTTCTTAATTCAATAGCCAGCAGTGTGTTGGGGTTGGGTTTGGTTTTTGTTTGTTTTTTTTATTATTAGTTAGTCTGTTTTAGTGAATTAAATAAGCTAAGCAACAGGATCAGGTGAGGTCCATGTTTAGCACAGAGAAGCAGCAAGAGATGAGAGCAGGGTGAGGCAGGGTTGAAGGACTAATCCTCATGAGGCAGTGAATTGTTGAAATAGGCACTGCCTGCCTCATTAACTGAGTGCCACCTACTTCCTGCGCTATTCAGTTTGACACCTTTAATTACCATTGCTGTGAGTCCTACATTCCTTGACTCTTGAGGTAAAAGGATACAGACAGCCCAAGTGTTTCTATTACTTTGGTATGTTTCAGCAAGACCAACATCAGCACATCAATCTCTTGACATAGCGAGATACAAAGTCCCACTTTCCTCCCCAGCCTGGAAGCCATTTCCTGTGATGCGGTTACGGATCACGGTCCCTTTCTGGGACCTAAATAAATGCTAGGTCTATCAGGCAGTTCACACAGTAAGCGCTGCAGTTTCCTCCATTAAAGTAGTGATCTAAATATCAAAGTACTGATCCAAACCAAATATTGCTATTATCTTTGCAGAATTTGTTCCACATCAACCAACAGTTGTACAACACTTCAGCAAGAAAGCAATGGAAAAAACCTGCTGTATGTACATGCCAAGTGCAGCATACTCTGCAAAAAGTTAACAAAATCTGGAAGTTGTATCCTGGTTAAACTGTTAACATTAAGAGGACTGATTATCAACAAAAATATTGTTTCCTTCTGTAGTTAGTATTGTTATAAAAGCAGGTAGTTACAGTGAAGTCTGACCATATTCAAAATGTCTGGATATCAGCTGGTATTTAAAAGATCTTCACTCTATTTTACACCATAATCACATTGTATTTTCAGTAATATTTTTAAATACTAGATCTTACACAATATAGCCAGCTATATGTAATCTTACTCAGGATTATAAATATTTAAAACTTTGCAGGGATACGTATGTTAATAGAAAAAATTTGGTTTCACTTCTGCTTGGAGTTGAAATTGTCAATTTTTTTTCTCCTTAAAACAAGCGCTGTGCTTTTTAGAGTACAGAACTCAAATTCAATTATTTCTGGCTTTTTGAAGCTGAAAGTAGTGCCAACCAGAAGATACTAAGCACAAACTCACATTCTTCTCACAGCAGGATACTCCAGTCCTGAAATGCTAAATACATGCACACTGCAAGAACCAGTCCTGTTCATTTTACACATAATGTACCGTTTCTTAACTTTTTTATCTCTATTATAATAGTTTGTTTCGAGGAATGATACAGCAATTAACTAAGAGAATTTAGATCTCATGGAACCTGTTAGATTCATAAAATGCTTATACCATACCTGAATAGGGTAAGTTCTTTGAATAACCACATCAATACACCCCACTGCACCACCCTCACTGTAAAGCGATGATAAAGGCAGAGGAAAAGGTCTGGGATCCCGATGAAATCCTAGTTTTGCATGCCATCGTGCACATCGCGTGCTGTTCGCTGAAATCTGAACAAGTTACATGTTGAATGATAAACTGTCACCGGTAGGTCAAAAAGATAACCAACTCCTATCTAGAAGAAAGACTATTTTTACACTGACCTCTTTAAGAATATCTCATTTTTGCACCTGAACATATTACCTTTCAATTTCAAGGCTTCTTTTCACATTGAAGAATGTATTTGAAACAGGAACTAAAAATTTGATCAGTTAAAATTCTCTAGGAAATAAGCACCTATGAGACAAACCATTGCTTTATACCAGAGGAGCAAAATTTTTATGCTGAAACTTCACCCAGCACTTTAATCATCCTCAAACAAGTCAAGACCCACGTCCCGCCCTCCCCCACAAGCCCACACCTTTTTTTTTCCCCTCATTCTTCCTCCAACTTCTGTATTGTCTGTGATGGATAAAATCCTTTTTGTAACTTGGTGATTAACCAAATTAAGGAGCTGGAACTGTCAAAACACACAGCAACACTTGGCAGAATTTTGTATTCGAAACTCCTCTTCCAGCCCTGTTGGATAGCGTCAGCTACCTTGTGCTGCATCTTACAAATCTGGTTATTAAACTTTGACAAAACTTCGTCTGTTTATAAAGCCCTGACAAAACTTTTTCTGTTTACAAAACATGGCTCAGCTAAATAGCATCCACCACACCCCTCGGTCAATCCAAGCAAGCTGAACTAATATTTTGTTTTACCTTTAGCATAAGGGAATCTGGGGCTTCCAGTGGCGTACATCCATTCTGAGAGCCAACGAGTTCTGCTCCGTGCACTATGATCTTCTGACCAACAGTCAGCCTTCTTCTATGCAAGAAAGCTTTGAGAGGTGGATCCAGAAGAGCTCTAATCCCATACCAGCCATCAGTAACTTCAATTATTGCTGCTGCTTTTTTACTTTCCACATTGTTATTGCTACTGCTAGAAGATACAACGGTGTCCAGTGATATGATTTTAGAAATACACAGTACAAGTGTTTTACCTGCTGCATCATCTCTTTCTGTTATTTTTTTGATTGCTGATCGTTTGCTTTTATCAACTTCCAAATCATACCTACAAAAAAGAATTCACAATGCTTTGTTATAGCAAACAAAATCCATCACATTGTTTTTCCTTAAAAACAATTGTAGCAAACTACTGCTTCATCAATCTACATGATCAAGTACCACTGTAGCAAAGCGATTATTATGTAAATTTTTGCAAATAACATGCACTACATGTTTAATACTGATGTGCATAAGTAACAATATAGGCATTCTGATAAATAGTAAATGCAAGGTAGAGTTGCTTATTTTTTAATGTTATGAAAAAGCAGACAGTATCACAGATTACAGCTCCACATACGTTGCTGTACACGTACCTGTATTTCAACTGCAGCAGCACTGTTTCTGGTGTCAAACATCTGTTAGCAAATTCACATGGAAAAGACACTTCCATGGCTGCCAGTTTCCACACAATCCACCTATAGTGATTGTAGACCCAGGCCTCTGTTATTAGCTTGGGATCCACACCAGGAGTGTCACAGAGGGCTCTGCAGATAAATTGTTAATAAATTAACCCAAAATCCACTGTAAGTTTTTACTTGCCTGTTTTTCCCTAGCATTGTGTTCAGTGGATGTACATAGGCAACGTTAACAAAGGAATATTTATCACAGCGAGAACAGGAAGGTTACATTCCATAACCTGATCTGGTTATTGTCTGAATACCGAAGTTTTGACCTCAGCCCCTTTGGCAGCACGCAAGTGCATACACGCACGCGTTCTTGAAATGGAGACTTCTGACGCTAGCAGTAGCTCCCGGGGCATGCTCTGCCTGCTTCACGCAGTTACGTGCTTAGCATAGAGGGACAGAGGTGTGCTCAGCTCCCTTTCAGCCCTGGAATTTCTCCTCCTTGCTTGATGAGTTCATTACAATCCATCCCCCTCTGCTTCATAGTTTCTAGAGTGGTGGTTTGGGTGTTTTGGTTTTGTTTCTTTTTTTTAAGCATGCATGTGGAGAACACATTTCAAAAAACTTTCAGTTGCAACTGAAGAACTTTCTTCTTTCCATTGAGTGACTGCTCAAATGGACTTCAACTCTGTGTTGAGTCTGAGCTGTACCACCATGACCTGGATGAGTTGGGCTGGAAGCATCTATTTTTTCCAGCTCTCTCAGTCACTAGGAAGGCCATTTCATGAAAGCAGGAACAGAAAGAATTAGACCAGACATTCAAATAGTTGAGCCACTGGACTGATTAGAACAAGTTAGGTCCTATCAAAAAGTCAATTTCTGACTTGTCAGAAAGTTCAAGAAGATTTTAAGGAACTGTATTGCAGTGGGGTGAAAAAAATGAAACAATTTTTAAAAAAGCCTACAAGTCAAATACAGGAAGGTAAGGAGCGGGCATGACCACCAAATTAATTATTGCTACATCAGAAGAGAGCAAAGCAATCTCAGACTTTAGGAGCTACTCTGTAACCTCCTGTGAAGGGCAGTGCAATCCGGGAGTTAAAGCCAGAACTCAGTTCAAGATCAAGATCCTAAATATGCTTTAACACATAACAAATCCAGAAAAGATACAGGAACTGAAGGCAACCTCTCGGGGAACAACCTCTACAAACTGCTCGAGAGGTTATCTGATATTCAGGGTCAGATCAACACTGTCACCCAGAGCAGGTTCTGGCACCAAAACCACTGTGGCTATGCTGCGATAATTAGCAGCTTGGTGGTGGTTTCTCTCTTCTGTTTCTGAAAAACGAATGTGGGGAAAGCCATACAGCTGATGGCCTGACCACAGAATCAGGAGCACATCTGAAAGTGATTACTAAGACAAGCTGCCTCTGGAACAAGAAGTTGGACTGCATATTTGGCACATCTAGGCATAAGATGTTTTATGCAAATACTTTAATGACCCTTCACAGTAAAGTTGTGTGAAATTAATCAAGATGACCTCCAGCATGTCTGAGCAGCAGATTGCAAATACAGTGATCCAGTTTGACGCATTGTTCCCAGAGATCTACTGCTTCTTGTCAAAAACAACCTCAAACTTCATGTTTCCTAATAATTTGTGTGGCAGTGCTGCTTGCCATTCTAGAAATAGCAATTTTGCATGAGAAAAGAATGACCAGCACACTTTCTAGAATGCACACAACTCCAGAACATTGAGACGTAGGCAAGAGGCCCTGCACCATAACTGCCCATGGATGAACATCCCAGTCTTTTATGCATCTACCATAAGGGCTTTGCAGGAACATTCCAGCTAGCAAGGTACGTCCCCAAAACATTCAACAACTGTGTCACCACTGGAGGGAAACGCAGACTCAGGGATGGCATTGCCAATAGCAAAATACTTGCCAAATAGGGAGGAAACAGACAAGTAACAAGTTAGGTCAAGTTCTGCATACTCAGTCTCTGAGTGACTACATAAATGCATATGCCTACAAGTCCCCCAGCTGTCCATGGAACTGTTGGGGCAGGCAATGCCACAGGGTGCAGACTGGAACTGTGGGAGGATTAGCTCTGCCTTACAGTGTTTAGAAAAAAAAACAAAACAACACAATTTTAATGACTGCTCTGAGATAAACTTGGTTCACTGTCAAACAGAGAGACTCAAGAACTTCCAGAGCAGCGTGCAATTTCTATTTCATGAGGAAGTACAGATCACAGTGTGGAAGTACACATCTTATCCTAGTCAGTTTTCCCATATTGGATTCCTGGCACCAACTTCAACAACTCAAACTTTCAGAAAAGAAAAAGCAGTGCTTGAGCTTGGAACAGACCTATCTCTGTCACACTTTGGTACTGGGAAGCGAATGTTGCAAACCTCTTGAATTCTGATACCACGTAGGTTGGCAGTGCATGCTTGGCTACAAATACTACTCAAATACAGGTCCCTGCCTTGAATGTTTGTGCAAGTGAACACCAGCAGTGGCACTGACTTGAAAAAAGAGCATCTCAAATTTAGTGAGGAAATCAGAAAATAACGGTTAATTATTTTCTGATGTTTTGCTGGAACAACAGTACACCAGTAGTGCCTTGTTCTGTTGCACATGCTTTTGATGAAGTTATAATGTACAAACTTGCTTACAGTAAAACAAAACATCATTTTTATGAAAGTGTTTAGGAGAGATGCACTCCACACACTTTTTTTTTCAGCTCATCTTAAGTGACCTGCAGAAGGAGGGATAGAAGGACCAGGAAGAGTGTAAGAGCAAGGGTTGTTGCAAGCAAGCAAGAAAGCTTGAATGATTTGCTACTGAAGTCTTGGCTTCCTTCAAATCATACATCAGCTTTAAAAAAATTATGTTGAAAAAACATATTTTCAGCCCTGACCTGCCAAAGAAGCCCCAAGCTCCTAGCCCACCTTCATTCCGATCAAGAAACTCTAGAGCCCAACAGAAATAAATTGCTTTCCTTGGAAAAAAAAAATCAAAACCCAATAATGCTAATTAAACAAAGTGGTAAAGTGCTGAATTAACAGAAAATAGTAATATTTTTCTAGACCATTTACACTGTCAAAGAGTCCCCAGAAATTTTCTGAATGGACTCTTATGTGCTTTCTTTAATGGTCAGTGAAGATCACTGAAAACAGTTACCTACATAGTAAATTTACAATCCCACAATATCCTTATTTACACTAACAGGTGTGTACTAAAAATGCACAGAAAAAAGCAGTCAGAAGTTTAAAAGATCACTGCATTGGATTTATTCTAACTAACAAATACCATACTTGTCTCAAGTTCATAAGTAACAGTACCTGTAAAACTCTGTTTTTCCAGCTTTTCCCTCATCTGTAGGTATTAGCCATCCTCCATCAGCCAGCTGCATCCCATTTCCAGCTAATAAATACTCCTTACTGAAAAAGTCGTTGATGAGAAACTGGAAAGATTCAGCATTTGTGCTGTTAACTTGCATGCAGTGTTTCGAAACACCGTATGTGTAAAGCTGCAAAAAAAAAAGATTAAAAAGACAAAATAATGACAATACAGTAAGAATTCAGCTGAGAGTTTTTATATCTAATGTTATAAATTCAGATAAAATATTTCCCTGAGGTTGAGACAGCTTTGGTCTGACCTTGCCATTTCCTATGCAATCCAAGGAGAATGGAGGAATTCCCAGCAATTATTATAGCAGAACAGCATCACAGTGTGCTTTAAAAGGGTTTAAAAAAATTCAATAGGTTTTGCACCTTCTACTGTACCAACAGCAAGAGGCTTTTGATACGACCTACCTAAGCTTAAAATTTAACTGTTATCTTGAAACAGCTCTTCATATGGGTTAAAAGTCAACAGCAACTACAATTGGTACATTTTTTTTCTTCTTTGATGCTCCTCTTTGATTATAACACTACAGAGACATTTATGACCCTTATTATTTGGAATAGTCTTAAAAACTGTGGATACGCGAAGCTCCTTAAAAACTGTAGCAACTGGTATAACAGCTCCTGTAAATACTCATCTCAAAACTGAAGAACACATCTATTCAAAAGGTACTGCGTTTTTGTTCGCTTGTCTTAAGGAACAGATCCCGGGAAAGACACACAGTAAACAGATATCATTATACCTCTTCCGCAGGATAAAAACGAGGCGATTTCTCTTCCACTGCAGTTTTCAGAGATATTCTATTTCTGGCAGATGTTTTAATGACATAGAGACTGCCTGGCTGTGAGCTAATATTTTGCCTGTATTTCTTTTTAATTCTCATTTCCTGCAGATCTCTGGCACAGCGGAGATTTGTCATCATCTTAACCATAGCTGCAAAGAAAAAACAGCACCCCAAACCATCAAAAACTTTTTACAGTATATATCCATCCATTTAATATATACAGTCACACTATAAAAGCAGATTCAGAGAAGCGTATTTTCTAAGCCACTGTGCAGAGTTTTAGAAACTGCAACACTGTAAATATTCAAAGTTTAATGCATTAGAAAAGCGGTGTTTGCTGAAGGCATTTGAGTAATATTTATATGAAGTGAATGATTTTAAATGAATATGAATATGTAAGTCCCTGAACTAATCTTAAATCCACATATTTTTCTCAGACTGAACTCTGTCTTCATAGAAAACTCCAAACGAACAGAAATTAATGGATGATAACTACAAAGTCCATAATCCTGAGGTTTTGACCTGGAATTACAGGATCTAATTATGCAAATGTTCATGCACCTGTTCAAATATACACAACTAGCCCTTTGAAAAAATCCAGACTATTTGACTGTAATAGTTACAGCAGTTATACACACTGGGACATCCAAGAGTGTTTAGAAGCTATAAGCCCACATACTAAGTAAAGCCGAACAGTTGGCCATTTAAACTCTGCCTCTTTGAAAATTACACAGTCGGCCATTTATATGGTCAAGCTTATATTTTAATTCGAAAAGTGAATGAAAACAAGCTTCCATAAAAGTGAACGAAGTGTAGCAAGGCTAGCCTTTAAGGTTCCTAGAATATTTTACTTAAAATGTTTATAAAATCAAATATCAAATGAAACAGAAGCCATCTTGTTTCTGAAGCACTGCGTGAAAACAAATTTTTCATACCCTTAATTAACTTTGGAGATGAGCTGCATATGTGTTATTAGGAGTGCAATATAAAATATTAGGAAAGTAATTATTTCCTAATTTTCCTGCCAAAAAAAGCTTAAAAAGAAGCTTCTTTTTTATTTAAAAAAGTCTGACCGAACATGCAAAACCCTTAAAGGTTCAATTCTGATAGTAGTCACAATAGTGAAGGGGTCAAAATCTGAAAATACCTAAATTGCCACTGTCTAGGTCAGTGTCTGCTGCATGCTGGATGCAATACTGGTTTTTTTTTCAGCAGTATTTTGTTCCGCTGCGGTCTGGTTTAATTCTGTCTCTTCGGGCCTGTTTTTGCTGATCGGTGAGTCACATCTTTTGCTGCTGCATTGTTCACCTGTAGCAAATGTCAGCTTGTTTTTGAAGGGTGGAATAAAAGTTTTAGCAGTTTTGCCAGATTTGTACAAACTTCTCATTTCTTCACTGTCTTTCGCTGGGGCCTTACGTGGAGTAGAAACCCCTGAAGTACCGTTTGAAGACTGCCTTAGTGCACAGTGCTGAAAAATGGCAGGTTTAGATTTGAATCCTTTGAAGTCTTCATCTGGTAGAGTGAGGGTAGGATTCTTGACTTCTTGTCGTTCTTTAGTAGCCCTACAGAGACAAAAATCACTTAAACACACAGGATTCAGCTTCCTGACAAAACTCTTTGTCAGGATTTCCATAGTCTTAATTTAGTGATGCAACTTTCAACACTACATCAATAAAAAGACAAAATATCAGTCTGGGACATTTTAAAAACTGAATACTTAATTTCTATTGAGAGAAGAGAAATTCAAGTGTAAAATTTGTTTAGCATCTCTGTGGTCTACAGCAGTAATGTGTGTTATACAGTAATTTAATATGTTTATTTTGAAGTAAAATCATTAGTCTTATATAAAGTTGCATAGCAAATTATTATGGTATATTTTTTAAAAAGTTACAAGGGCTTGTGAGGTTTTAAGAAATTGTGTTAGAAGAACTCTAAAATATAAACTGCTCACCCAAAAGGTTGACAAGTTATGGGTTTTAAAGGAACATGGTACATAAATTTTCTTCTGTCTTTGAAAATGCCTGTAAGATAATTAAAAAAAAGTTTGAAATTGTACATTTCATGGATAGAAAATTACAGCATGTTTAATCTATATTAATGTTATAAATATATAAAAGAGTTTCCAGAATAGATTTAAACAGTTTTGTTCTCCCCCTCCCCTAAATAAAATCTTTCTATAAAACATCTTCACACTAATTGCAGAGGGATCTAAAGGACAAGTGACCACAGTGCTGAACTCTCAAAAGTCCCTCTTTCTGTTTGTGAGCCTGCAAGATGTCTTTAGGCTCCTGAAAGGGTAATGTTTATCGTATACTTAATTCCAGGTAGGCTCACCCTTCAATTTAGCAACTTTTTTTCTATATTTAGAAAAGGGCAGATTTGCACAAACTCCTCCTTTCATCACTGAAGGACATACTCATCTTGGAATTATCAACATAACTAAATCACATCTGCCTGGAATTTAAACTAATTTGTGCTATGCCCTTTGGCTGCAAAGAGGACGTTGTCCCATGAGAAGTCACATACACCAGATGCCAAATGTTGTAGAAGTCAGAGGCAAGGCTGTACTGGAGATGAGAACTGTTTTCAGTTGTTCCAAAGAATAACACTGTTCAGATCCTGATACAGGGTAGGTTAATATTTACATATGAAGGGTATACAATTATTCACTGGCAGGAACTTACAAATTCCATTTAAAACTCTTTAAACCATGGGGTTTATGCTTAGAACAGATTTAGGACAAATTCAGGAACAAATATACTGGTTAAGTCAATAGATTTGATGACTCCTGCCACTGAATTCTAGGTGAGAGCATGCAGTGCTTGGAAAGAACAAGTTCCTAAAAGAACATGGCTTACTCTATAACCAAAAGCCGTAGCCAAAAAATCACATTATCCTAATACCCTAATCACTAACTAGCTTCACATAAAGCATAACTTGAATTTTAAAAAACTTGGTTTCACTTTCATGAGCCTCTATATTACTGGCTCAAAATATTAAAAGCATCTGTAATGTCGACACCTATCAGTAAGTATATTCTTCAGAAATCATTACACGATGAAATTACCAGTACCTTCTCATTTTCCTGTAGATAACAGGTTTTAATTGAGAAAGTACAGATCAATGAAATACAGGCTGGGCGATGAGTGGATCAAGGGTAGTCCTGCAGAAAAGGATTTGGAGATGCTGGTGGATGAAAACC